AATTAATCCACAAAAAAAACACTTTGAAAAGAAAATGTAATGTGGAAAAAGAAAACAATGACAATACTGTCTCTATAAGTGATATTTCAACATTTCTTGCCATTAGCAAGGGACCAACAGAACAGAGTTATAGGATGGGGCATTATCTATAATCACAATCCAATTTATAAATAGTATTATGTACTGAATCTGATGGATAGAAAAAGGCATGCAAAGAGAATATATTTGTTCTAATTTATTTATGCTGGCAGGCGTAATCAAATAGTTTTTAAGAAGTAGGTATGCACTGATATATTTATAAAATAAAATATCCTTCCTTTCATTCAACATCAGAATATTTATTAATATAACTCCTGTAAACATATTAAAGAAGGGAATAATGATTATTTCAAAAAATACAAAAAAAAAATAACCATTCCTGATTAAAACAGTAAGCAACTAGAAATAGAACCCTTAATAATCCTGGTAAAGTATCTACCAAAAAGCCATAGCAAACATTATACTTTATAATAAAATTTTAAAAATACAGCAGTAAAGTTAGGGACTCAAGATAAAGATGGTATCACTACTTCCATTAACATTGTATGAAGGTCCTGTTAATACAAAACAAAGAAATATGAATAGGTGGTTTAAGAAATAAAAAAGAAGAAAAGAATTACTTTTATTTGTAAATGATATGATTGTTTATATAAAATATCCAGAGAGGTAACAAAGCAAACACACAAAAAAATCAGCAAAGTTTTGTGGATATGAGACCAATATACAAAAATTGGTACAAACTTAGGTCTTTTTTAATAAACCATTAATAGCCAATCAGAAAATATAATTTAAAGAAAGATAGCTTCAATTTTAGCAATAAAATTATGAGCTATGTAATGAAAGTTGTTCAAAATTTTAGTAACTTATAAAGCATTGCAGAATATAAAAGACCTAAATAAATGACTATTTCTACCATGTTCACTGATAAGGAAACAACTTTTGCTAAATTAATCTATGAAGTCAAATCTATTCCAAACAAAATCCAAAAAGGATTTTTTATGGATCTTGGCTGATTCATCCTAAAGTTTGTATGAAAATAAAAGAGAAATGGATGAAAGATCTAAATGTGAGAGGAGAATCCATCAAAATCCTAGAGGAGAACACAGGCAACACCCTTTTTGAACTTGGCCACAGTAACTTCTTGCAAGAAAACAAAAGAAACAAAAGCAAAAATGAACTATTGGGACTTCATCAAGATAAGAAGCTTTTGCACAGCAAAGGATACAGTCAACAAAACTCAAAGACAACCTACAGAATGGGAGAAGATATTTCCAAATAACATATCAGATAAAGGGCTAGTTCCCAAAATCTATAAAGAACTTCTTAAACTCAACAGCAAAGAAACAAACAATCCAATCATGAAATGGGCAAAAGACATGAAGAGAAATCTCACAGAGGAAGACATAGACATGGCCAACATGCACATGAGAAAATGCTCTGCGTCACTTGCCATCAGGGAAATACAAATCAAAACCACAATGAGATACCACCTCACACCAGTGAGAATGGGGAAAATTAATAAGGCAGGAAACAACAAATGTTGGAGAGGATGTGGAGAAAAGGGAACCCTCTTACACTGTTGGTGGGAATGTGAACTGGTGCAGCCACTCTGGAAAACTGTGTGGAGGTTCCTCAAAGAATTAAAAATAGACCTGCTCTACGACCCAGCAATTGCACTGTTAGGGATTTACCCCAAAGATTCAGATGCAATGAAACGCCGGGGCACCTGCACCCCGATGTTTCTAGCAGCAATGTCCACAATAGCCAAACTGTGGAAGGAGCCTCGGTGCCCATCGAAAGATGAATGGACAAAGAAGATGTGGTTTATGTATACAATGGAATATTACTCAGCCATTAGAAATGACAAATACCCACCATTTGCTTCAACGTGGATGGAACTGGAGGGTATTATGCTGAGTGAAGTAAGTCAATCGGAGAAGGACAAACAGTGTATGTTCTCATTCATTTGGGGAATATGAATAATAGTGAAGGGGAATATAAGGGAAGGGAGAAGAAATGTGTGGGAGATATCAGAAAGGGACACAGAACATAAAGACTTCTAACTCTGGGAAATGAACTAGGGGTGGTGGAAGGGGAGGAGGGCGGGGGGTGGGGGTGAATGGGTGACGGGCACGGAGGGGGACACTTGACGGGATGAGCACTGGGTGTTATTCTGTATGTTGGTAAATTGAACACCAATAAAAATTAATTCATAAAAAAAAAGAAAATAAAAAGAGCCAAGAGTAAAGACAATTTAAGAGAAGAATCCTAAGAAAGAGGAGCTTGCAAAATTTTTCAATATGTAGAATTGAATGCATGGGTGTTCATCATGTTATTTATTTTTCTGTGTCCAAAAATATTTCATAAACTAAACTTTTAGAAAATAAAAAAGAATACCTTATGATCTCTAAGGTATGGCTTGGGACTCTTATAAACAAGAAAGCAGGGATCGCCGGGTGGCCCAGCGGTTTGGTGCCTGCTTTAGGCCCAGGGCGTGATCCTGGAGTTCCGGGACCGAGTCCCACATCAGGCTCCCTGCATGAAGCCTGCTTCTCTCTCTGCCTCTCTCTGTGTCGCGCATGAATAAATAAATAAAATCTTAAAGAGAGCAAAATGCATGAAACCATAATGAAAATATTTGTTAAATTCAACTAGCAGTACTTAAAATATACAGCTTTTGGTAATCAAAAGATACTATAGAAAGATAAAGGAGGGGGATCCCTGGGTGGCGCAGTGGTTTGGTGCCTGCCTTTGGCCCAGGGCGCGATCCTGGAGACCCGGGATCGAATCCCACGTCGGGCTCCCGGTGCATGGAGCCTGCTTCTCCCTCTGCCTGTGTCTCTGACTCTCTCTCTCTCTGTGACTATCATGAATAAATAAAAAAAAAAATTATAAAAAAAAATAATAATAATAAAAAAAAAAAAGAAAGTTAAAGGAGGGCAGCCTGGGCTCGGCGGTTGAGCACCTTCAGTCCAGGACGTGACTCTGGAGACCCAGGATTGAGTCCCGTATCGGGCTCCCTGCATGGAGCCTGCTTCTCCCTCTGCCTGTGTCTCTGCCTCTCTCTCTCTCTAGGTGTCTCTCATGAATAAATGAATAAATAAATATTAAGAAAAAAAGAAAGTTAAAAGACAATCCATAAGCTGAGAGAAACTATTTGAAACATACATAACCAAGAGAAACGTATTTAAACTTTAAAAATATATAAAGATTATATACAAATTAATTCCCAAAAGCAACAAGCCTATAAAAAGTGAATTAAGGGGCAACCCTGGTGGCTAAGCGGTTTGGCGCAGCCTTTAGCCGAGGGTGTGGTACTGAAGACCCGGGATTGAGTCCCACGTCGGGCTCCCTGCATAGAGCCTGCTTCTCCCTCTGCCTGTCTCTGCCTCTCTCTCTGTGTATCTGTCATGAATAAATAAATAAATATAATCTTTAAAAAAATAAAAGACCAAATTAAAAGATGTTATTATCAAACAAAAATTTTAAAATCTAACAATAATAGGTGTTGTGGATAATGATGTGCCAGTCTAATCTATTTATGGGAAATGTATCTGTGCATAGATGAATCTCAAAACCCAAATGTGTAGTAAAAAAAAAAAAAAAAGAGGCTGGGAGGGGAAAGAGCTGTAGGATTCTATATATATATAATACAAGGCAGCCTGGGTGGCTCAGCGGTTGATTGCCTGCCTTCTGCCCAGGTTGTGATCCTGGAGACCCCGATCCAGTCCCGTAGGCTCCCTGCATGGAGCCTGCTTCTCCCTCTGCCTGTGTCTCTACCTCTCTCTGTCTCTCATGAATAAATAAATAAAATCTTAAAAAGAAAAAATACACCACCAGAATAACATATTTTTAGGCAGTCATACATATATAACTGTGTTCAAAATGCAAGGAAATAAGTAATACAATATTTAGCATAATGTTTATTTCTGTCTGCGAAGGAGATGGAGAGGGCTTTGGAGAAGCCTTCAAAGACACTGGTATTCTTCTGCATCTTCAGCTCTGCAGTGGATACCAGGGTATTCTTTTCATTATGCTTAAAAATGTGCGCATACGGGATACATTCATATCCGCATATTTCACAACCAAAATTCCTCTTAACAATCCAGTGTGATTTTTAAGGCCCAGCCCTTACAAAATTGCTTACGTCAGCAAGTTCTAGACTGTGAGTCAGGATTTCCTTGTTACTACGTAACCAAACAAAATAGAGAATTCTCCTGGCTTCTCAGGCTGATGTAAGACGGGAACCTTCAGCTGTAACCCCTCCTTCGAAAATTCTTGTTCTTTACACCTGCCTCATTGCTCCCGATTATTTCTGTACTCCCACTACAAATGTGATTTCATACGTTTGCAAATCCAATGTCATCTTCATCTACTTAGGGGCTTCAAGCGAAGTTCCAGTGTTCTATTAATGATAAAACGGTCCCTTCAAAGAGTCTGAAAACAAGTGGAGTTTGCAACAGCTTTGGAAGGCCTCCCCCACCCAGGCCAGCTGTCCTCTGTCAGCGAGAGCTTCCCGGAGGAACGTGAGAAGCACAGTTTTAACGGACTAGGGCTGGGGGTGACTGGGTGGCGGGCACTGAGGGGGGCACCTGACGGGATGAGCACTGGGTGTTATTCTATATGTTGGCAAATTGAACACCAATAAAAAGTAAATTCATAAAACAAAAAAAAAAAAGAAAAGAAAAAAGAAAGAACAGTTTTTAAGAGAGGTGGGTCACCTCCAATCGGAGAGGGAGGGTGTGCGTCCAGCCAGAGCTCCACCCGCCCCGACGCCCCGACGAGCTCTCCGCTCCTTCCCCCCGCGCCGCTCCCGGCGCTCACAGAAGAGGGGAGCCCGCGCGGGGAAAGCCGGTGCCCCGCCCCCTCCTAGAGCCGGAGCCAGGCCCCGCCCCCGGGGGCTGCGGGAACGCTCTGCGCGCGCCCTCCGGGAGGCGGGGATCCACATCCGGTATCCGGTACCCGCGCTCCCCGCCCGGCTCACCCCCCGCGGCTCCGGCTGGAGCGTCTGCTGGTGGCCGGATTCCCAGACCCCGGTGAGTAGCCGGCGGCCTCAGGGCTCCGCAGACGCGGCTGCGGCGGGCCCGGACCCACCCCCGGCGCCTGCGCGCCCGTCGGCCAGCCAATGCGCGTGCAGCGTCTGCGGGCGGCCTTTGACCCCGCGCCCCCCCGGCCGGCGAGAGGCGCGCGCGTGCGGCGCGCGGGACCCCGGGTACCTGCCGGCGGCGCTTGGCTCTCCTTTGTGCCTCGGTTAGTCTGGTCGCCTTCTCGGGGGCCGGCTGTCTCCCGACCCCGGCGGCCTGGCGTGCGCCGCTTCCCTGGGGCGGAGCCTCCCGTCGCCTCGGTTTTCCCTCCTCTCCCTCGGCAAATTCCCCGAGGGACGGAAGCCGGTGAACGCCTCGTCCGTTTGTGTGCAAACTGCAGCCGCGCCGTGAGCCTGCGGGGAGAGGAGGAGGGTCGAGGCCGCCCGCGCTCGGGGGGTCGCGGGGGGGTCGCGGCCGCCGCCTCCGCCTCCGCCTCCGCCTCCAGCGCCTCAGGCCTCCCGGAGGAGAGCGGGACGGCGAGGCCGCCCGGACTTGGCTGTTTTGGTTTTTTTCTTTCTTTTTTTTCTCTTTTTTCTTTTTTTTTTTTTTTCCTCCGCTCACTTGTCAACACGTTTGGCTCTGTCAGCGTAGACTGTTAACCTTTCGCTAAGTTTCAGGATGCGGCTCTGCCGGACTAACGTCTTTTTTTTTTTTTTTTTTTTCCATCTGCCACAGGAGCAAACTGAAATTCAGGCGTTTATCATAGTTTTCATTTTATTACTGTAATATTATCCTCCCTTGTTGGACTCCTCTTTAAATACTTCCACGTTTTCCCTGGACGTTTATCCACAGGGTCTTACGGTCATAAAAGGAAAACTATCATCAACGCCTGAGTTTCAGTTTGCTCCTGTGGCAGATGGAAAAAAAAAAAAAAGACATTATAGGACTATAGAAGATTATTTCCTTTTAAAGAGCGTAAGACCCTATGGATAAATGTTCAGAGAAAACGTGGAAGTGACTTAAAGAGGAGTCGAACAAGGGAGGATAATATTACAGGACTTCAAAGGGGACGGAAAGGACTGGAGTGGGTCGTTTAGGTATTTTTAGAGAGTAGTTTGAAAGAAAGAAAAGCAAAATGTAGGTCTGGTAATCCTGTCACGTTACAAATCGTTTTCGTGACAAAGTGTTCAGTTCCTCCTCCTTGAACTATATGTGAGCTTAGAAAACCGGTGGGGTGCAGTGAATCTTGGAAACTTTGACGCCCTGTGCATAAAACCTTAACCAGAGCTGTTTCTGGTAGTCAGGCGATGAGTAGTAAGGGTAAGATCGGAAAAGAAACTGTCTTCAGATTAGAGTTGAGCTGCAATTTATTAGTAGGGAGTATAATCATTTTCTAACCCCATACTATTTATTTATTTTTTGAAGATTTTATTTATTCATGACACACACACACACGCAGAGACACAGGCAGAGGGAGAAGCAGGCTCCTTGCACCGGGAGCCCCACGTGGGACTCGATCCCGGGACTCCAGGATCATGCCCTGGGCCAAAGGCAGGCGCCAAACCGCTGAGCCACCCAGGGATCCCCTATTTAAATGAAAACATGACCACATGTCACAGTTTTCATCTGCCACCGAAAACAAAAAATCTCTAAACTTAATTTGTATATTACGTTCCTTGTAGGACACTGAGAAGTCAGGAATTTCAGTTCTAGAGCCAAACTTTGCTTCTTCCAGGTTCCTAGCCTCAGGCAAATTACTTAGCCTTTCACTAACCTACTGAAAACTTAACAATTAATTGCTTTGTACCTCTGTTATGTCATCTGTAAAATGGTGTTAAAAAGTTGTACTTCGTAGGTAGTTGTGAAGGCGAAAATGGGAGGATGAGATTATGCCTAACTGAATTTCTGTTAACCAGAGTCTGTAGGGGTCAAACCCCCTGAGCCAGAAGCCTTGGTATTGAAACTGATTTTGAAAGTCCCAGGTGTGTCTTCTATTATTAGTTGTGTTTATCTACAGTGGCTTCTAAGTTGATGCTAAAAAATTACTAGGAGTCCATATAATTTAATAATAATTAAAAAGTGAAATCTTTTGGCCTAACTGGATCGACAGCAAATACTTCTCGAAATAAGTTGATATTACACTGCTCTGGAACTCTTAGACCTCCAAGTCAAAAACTAGCATTTTGAAGATTAAAAGCATAAAACACAAAAGTAGAAACCATAGAGTTTCAAGAGAATACGTTTGGTATAACTTCTGTGTATCCTATTATGTAATGAAAACTGTCCTTGGAAGTAAACAGGCCTTCAATAGCCAATATCTTGAGTAGATTGCAACTTTGGAAACCCATACATCTGCGATTATAATTTTATTTTCTCATGCGACTTCTGAAACTTCTTCCTTATGTTGAAGCCAAATAATTCCTCCACTCCTTTCTTGCTACATCATTAGACTTGTTACACATCTCAGGGGTCATTGTGGTTTTGCTATCTTGAACATGATAATTTTATTAAAATGAATTTTTAAAATTACTGGATCTGTATTTCCTCCTAAATAATATTCAGTATAGATTATGGAAAGGTCAACCATTTGTACAGAGTCTGTTTATACACAGACTGCCCAAATATATACCAATGTTAAAAACAAAAGGGCCTCAAATCGGTTAAGCTGAATATTTGATGGTCACTGACTATAAGATATATGGGGCTCTTCTGCAGTGTAAAGACAAGGACTCCATTTTTTTGACATTAAGGAACAATGTAATAGTGGATACAATGCATGTAAGTAAATAGCATAATGCAATATGTAAAGAATTGCTATTTTAATAAGTAGGTAGTACTGTAACAATAGAATGAATGAGAAAATGAGTACTTTGCACCCTGGAATCACTAGGGAAGGTATCAAGAAGAGGCAACGTTTCAGCTTTATCTTGAAGGATGAGTAACATTTTAAAAGTTAGTCATGTAGAGAATAGACATTTAGAGAAAATTAACTATGAATTGGTTATTAATTGCTTGCCAGATGCCCATCTTTAATAATCATCTTCATAATAAATACTCATTTTTATTCAGTGTTACCCTAAACAGGAAGTGATTCTAAAAGTTTTATAATAACTTATTTTATGCTCAAAAATCTGTGAATGAGGTAATAATTCATTGTAAAGATGAGAAAAGCAGAGAAAGATGAGGTCATTTGAATAGGTGAAATAGCTTTCTAAAAGGCACAGCTGGAGGTTATTTGCTTTTAATCACAGTGTTCTAACTTTAGGTTGAGGTGACTTACTGTTAATTGAGATGTGCGGATTGGGCTAAAGCCAGTGAATCATCTGTAATGATGTAATAAATGAACATTTTAAGTTAGTGAATTAAGTAATGTTAGGAAGAGGGATCGACCTCAATTATATTTATGGGCAAGGACTGCGGGGGACAAGGTGGCTTCCATAAATGTACATTTTGTTTCATATTCTTGTGTAGATATGAGAAACTAATCTGAGAAATGAATCCAACAAACATGAAAGTTTCAGAACTATTTGTTTTCTATATTTCTTCACCTTTAACTTCGCCTTTATTTTTAAATCCAGTTGGTATTTAAAATAGATTAAAGCTACCCTTTCAGACTTCCACGTATATTAGCTTGTATGATTTACAGAAAGACTTTGTCAGAAAACACAACAGATAATGTTTTTTAAAGAAGAGATTAAATGACCTAGGGTCCCACAGGAAGGCAAATATGGCTGGTTTGGACTTTGGTTTTTAGATTGCAAGGCCAATATTCTGTTATATATCCTGACTCTTCCAACATTTCACCACTCATCTGGTCAGCCTCTCAAAAAACAAGGTCTTGCTAATTTCTAAATCATGAAGTTACTGCTCCCATGCTCTGTGACTTATATAGTGTTCATTGCTGCTATTTCCTAAATGTTACTTTTGAAGTATTCTAATTTTAGAAGGTAGAACTAGAAAATACCACTGGATTTTATCACCCAGAGGTAATAATTTTACATGTTTAAGTACTTTTCTTTTTTCATGTGTGTATTGTTAATGTAGTTGAGATCCTATATATCAATAATTATTTTTTTCTGCTTCATGGCTTGTGAAATTTCTTATTGTCTTTAGGGAAGGATTTGTTTTTATCTTGATAACTTGGAAATTTCAGGACAATAAATAGTAGAGGCAGGCCAAAATTGTTGTATCATCTCTATTCTTCTCTGTAGGGCTGCCACATTCCATACATTAGAATTTCACTCCCAGGGGTCATGTATTGCAGAGCTTGAAAGATGATATGAGTTGGCCCTTCCCAAAAATAAGTATTAGGTTTATCAGCTTATGTCTCCAGTTTGCTGGTGATATTCATTTTTTTTAATTTTCAAATTTTAGACTTAAAAATGTCCCAAAAATAGTACAAACAACTCAATTCCTGTGTATTTTTCATGTATATTCACCAAATGGTAATATCTTACCATATTTGCTTTATCATTATACTGATGTACACACACTTATGTATTACATTGTGTGTGTGTTTGTGTGTGTGTGTGTGTGTGTGTATATATATATATATTACATGTAACATGTATGTGTGTACCTAGATATGTATTTTGGATATATTTGTGAATAACTAATATATTGTTTGATGTTTCCTTATGTTTTGATCCAAGTTAAATTTTGACAGAAATACCGTAGCAGTGCTTTTGGTTCCTTGTTAGGGTATCCTCTCAGGAGACTCATAATACTTAACCAAAATTAACTGACAAAGTTCATTTTGATCGCTCGTTTAAGGTGGTGTCTGCTAGACACTGAGTTATTATTGTTCCTTTTGTAGTTAATCAGGTGTCTTTTGGAGAGATTCTTTGCCCATATATGGCTATCCTGTTTCTCATGAGACTTTTATTCCCTCATTTGATACCCATTGATGATTTTTGCCTAGGACAATTATGGTAGTTGCCAAATAATGATATTCCATTATTCCATCTGAATTTTATTAGTTGGCATTCTAATAGGAGTTTTCTTCATTCCTT